TCCTCCCCGCTGTCCGCCCCGCTGTCCGCCCCGCTGTCCTCCCCGCTGTCCGCCCCGCTGTCCGCCCCGCTGTCCGCCCCGCTGTCCACCCCGCTGTCCATCCCGCTGTCCTCCCCGCTGTCCGCCCCGCTGTCCGCCCCGCTGTCCATCCCGCTGTCCGCCCCGCTGTCCACCCCGCTGTCCACCCCGCTGTCCGCCCCGCTGTCCGCCCCGCTGTCCGCCCCGCTGTCCTCCCTGCTGTCCATCCCGCTGTCCATCCCGCTGTCCGCCCCGCTGTCCACCCCGCTGTCCGCCCCGCTGTCCGCCCCGCTGTCCGCCCCGCTGTCCGCCCCGCTGTCCGCCCCGCTGTCCATCCCGCTGTCCATCCCGCTGTCCGCCCCGCTGTCCATCCCGCTGTCCGCCCCACTATCTGCTCACTGTCCGCCCCGCTGTCCGCCCCACTGTCCGTCCCTCGTGGGGACAGGAGCTGCCGGCCGCCCTTCCTCTTTAATTCCCTCTCCCTGTGGTCCCTGCGGAGGGAGGTGACATAGTGGGCACTGGAGGCCGGGAGAGAGAAAGAGCCTTGAACATGGGAGCCGTCTGCACGTCTGTGGAGGCTGCCAGACGGCTCTCCCCTCGGCTCACGCACCTGCTCGGTCCGGCACCAGCAGGTCCGGGGCGCCTGTGACAGCTCGCCTCCGGCTTCAGGGAGCTGAGGCTCGGGCGGCTCCCGCGGGCGAAGGCTCCTGTCTGACTGCGGTGAGCTGCCCCAGCTCTGCCTGCTTTCGTCCCTGGGTTTCAGGGACGCGGTTGAGGGAGGGCAGGGCCTGGGCAGCCCGTGTGGCCTTGGCTGCCGTCCGTGTGGGGGGCTGCCCCGGCCCAGTGGCTCTCCCTCGCGACGTGGCCGTGGCCGTGGCCGTCTCTGCCTCCTTCCTGGTGTCCAGCAGCGGCCTTCCCGTGTCTGAGCACACCGGAGACTCGGCTGAGCGGTGACGGTGGAGCGACAGCCCCCCGCCCCCCGCCCCCGGCCTGCGGGCGGCCCTGGCATCTCAGGCTCCGCCCAGCGAGGGGTGGGAATGAGGAGACAGGCCGGGCTCTCGCCACGTGCTTGGCCCTCGGTGCCGGGCTCAGGCGGGTGATCCGGTGCTTTCGGCCCCACCCAGAGCAGATCGCAAGCACGCTGAGCCCCTCACCAAGCCTCCCAGTGCCCCTGGGCCAGCAGCCCCGGACCCTGAGCAGGACCCAAACTCTCGGCCCTACCCCGCTCGCACCTGCCACTCAGGAGCGGGGGGCACAGTGGGCTCCGGCTCCTCTCCTCTGAGCACTCGGGGGTCACAGGATCTGGGGTTCCTGCGTGCGCTGAGCATGCAGTGGGGGAGGGGGTGTTTTCAGACTCTCTCGGCCGCTGGTGACAGCGGGTAAATGACATCACTGCTGGGCACTCTGCCTCCCACACGTCATTCAGACAGAGGCTGACGTCCTGGCCCTTCCCCCGATTCCCGCCCCCCTCACCCCATCCTGACGTGCCCCAACCTTGTGGTGCTGTGCCCTTGGCTTAAAGACATGGGAAGAGACTGGAGAGGGAAGCTTCCTGTGTTTACAGAACACTGGATGACATGTAAGCATGTATGTGTCATGTGTGTTCTACTCCAGCGTATGCTAGCATCCCTGCTGTACCTCTCAGGTGCATTAACTAGCATGTCTGTGTATGACACGTCTGCCGTACCTCATACAGGACCGGAGTGCCCGCTGTGCCCGCCGAGGTGACAGAGCTGAGATGGCGTGGGGGGGCGGGCCTTCTTGGTGGCACCTGGTCCCCAGGCATGGTGGCCGCGGCAGGCACCACACGTGGCCTTTCTTCAAAGCATCGAGGGCCGTGCACTCAGCGTGGTCTCCCACACACGCCCCTGGGCCGCCCACGGGCCCCAGCACGGGGTCTCCAGCACTCCTGGAGCCCGGAGAGGGCGATGGGAACGGGCAGGGAGCCTGCTGGGAAGCTCTGTGCCTTCCTGCCGGCTGGCGCTCTTTCTGAGGCAGAGCCCTCCCCGATCCTGGTGCTGCACTCCGCCCTCTGACCACCAGGCCCTCCGCCCTCTGACCCCCAGACACTCCGCCCTCTGACCACCAGGCCCTCCGCCCTCTGACCCCCAGACACTCTGCCCCCTGACCCCCAGGCCCTCCGCCCTCTGACCCCCAGGCCCTCTGCCCTCTGACCCCCAGACACTCTGCCCTCTGACCCCCAGGCCCTCTGCCCTCTGACCCCCAGACACTCTGCCCTCTGATCCCCAGGCCCTTCGCCCTCTGACCCCCAGGCCCTCTGCCCTCTGACCCCCAGGCTCTCTGCCTCCTTATCCCCAGGCTCTCTGCCCTCTGACCCCCAGGCCCTCTGCCCCCTGACCCCCAGACACTCTGCCCCCTGACCCCCAGGCCCTCCGCCCTCTGACCCCCAGACACTCTGCCCTCTGACCCCCAGGCCCTCTGCCCTCTGACCCCCAGGCCCTCTGCCCTCTGACCCCCAGACACTCTGCCCTCTGACCCCCAGGCCCTCTGCCCCCTGACCCTCAGGATCTCTGCCCCCTGACCCCCAGGCTCTCTGCCCTCTGACCCCCAGGCCCTCTGCCCTCTGACCCCCAGACACTCTGCCCCCTGACCCCCAGACACTCTGCCCCCTGACCCCCAGGCTCTCTGCCCTCTGACCCCCAGGCCCTCCGCCCTCTGACCCCCAGGCCCTCTGCCCTCTGACCCCCAGGCCCTCTGCCCTCTGACCCCCAGACACTCTGCCTCCTGACCCCCAGACACTCTGCCCCCTGACCCCCAGGCTCTCTGCCCTCTGACCCCCAGACACTCCGCCCTCTGACCACCAGGCCCTCCGCCCTCTGACCCCCAGACACTCTGCCCCTAACCCCCAGGCCCTCCGCCCTCTGACCCCCAGGCCCTCTGCCCTCTGACCCCCAGACACTCTGCCCTCTGACCCCCAGGCCCTCTGCCCTCTGACCCCCAGACACTCTGCCCTCTGACCCCCAGGCCCTCCGCCCCCTGACCCCCAGGCTTTCTGCCCCCTGACCCCCAGGCTCTCTGCCCCCTGACCCCCAAGCTCTCTGCCCTCTGACCCCTCCTCTGCCCCCCCCCTTGACTTAGGCCCTCTGCCCCCCTGTCCCCAGGCCTCAGGTCCTGCTCGGGTGTAAAGGGCCAGACGTGGTGCTCTGAGCCTTGGCTTGGAGCTGTGGTGTTTCCCAGGAGAAGTGTAGGTTCTCCGTGTGACATCGGAGCCAGGACCGCGTCGCCACGCTGAGGGGTGGGAGGAGTCAGGAACTCCGGCGATGCTGAATGACTCCGTCCGTGGTTGACTGAAAAAGAACGTTCTAGAAAAAGATCTTCCTGCGTTTCGGAGGGAATGACGGGTTGTTCCAGGACCGGCCCCACAGCCTCTGCCCGCAAGGCCGGGACCTAACATGTTGGTGTTGCTGTTGGGCGGGCTGCGGGCTGCGTCCAGCTTCGCTGGTGACACGTGAGGAGGGCGCTCGGGAGCTGACAAACATCGCGGGTGTTTTTCTCTGGAGCCTGTGGGCCTTTCTGCTCGGCCGTCGGAGTCGCGGTGGCTGTGCCAGGGGGCGGGCAGCGGGCAGGAGCCAGGCCATGGGCACTCGGACCATCACACAGCGTGAGATGTCCTCTTACACGGAGTTCAGAGAGAGGCAGGGGGAGGGAGAATGAGGGGGGACATCCATGCTGAGAGATCAGGGGCCGGCTGCCTCCTGCATGCTCCCCACTGGGGACGGAGCCCACAACCTGGCATGTGCTTTTGATGGGAATCGAACCCGGGACCCTTCTGTCCACCACGATGCTCTAGCCACTGAGCCACACCAACCAGGGCACCATGAAAGTTAGCTTTGTGATTGCAGCGATCAGAGCCAGGCTGAGATGTCCGTCCCTCCCCATCCCCTCACCACCACCTGCCCTGCCTCTCCTGGCTGAGCCACGGGGAGGGTGGGACCCCACTCTCACCGAGGATCGGGGAGGTGAACGAGACGTGGGTGTGGCCACAGCAAGCTGCTGCTCTGGGCTTCGCTTCCGGCCACTGGACAGCCAGGGGCCGTGAAACCAACCGGGCAGCAGCTCGGGAGCCACAGGGCTGGGCACCTCCGAGCATCCCTGCTCCAGGCCTGCGTCTCCGCTTCAGCGCCTGGAGGGGCCTCGGGGGGCAGCAGGAGGCCCCGCCCCCCAGGCCGGGCTGTGTCCTGGGGGCAGTGATTCCGACAGGGGCCAGGCCAGGCCACGTCCTGTCCACACGGATACGAGGGCCACCTCCCCCCGGGTTCCTGGGTGCCCTGGGAAGCTGGTCCAGGCTGCGGGGGGCACCTCTGGGCTCCAGGCCTGGGCTGCTGGGAGTGCTGGGCTGGCACAGGCCCCAGCCCCACCTTCCGGTAGGTTCCCTCTGGGAGCCTCACCTTCCGGAAGGTTCCCTCTGGAGCCGCACCTGGACCGCGGCTTCAGGGAAGGAGCGGTTCCCAGGAGGCCTGTGGGAGGGAGAGCCGGGGAGCTGGGGCTGGGCACTTCCCAGGAAGCCGGCCTCCGGACTGTGGGTTAGCAGCCACACCCGCTCCCCGTGGAAGGGGCGTGCCTGTGCCAGGGCAGCCATTGCCGCTGGAGAGCCGGTGTTGGTGCAGAGTGAGGAGCCGCTGAGCTCACGGCCTGGGAGGCCCCACTCCTGCCACCATGGCCGAGCCCAGCGTGGGGCCCAGAGCCGCACCCCTGTGCCTCCTCCTGCCCTCACCGCCCCGCCTGCCCTGAGCCCCTCCCCGGCCCCGGGAGCCGGGTCCCGGCCGTGGAGCCCAGGCCGGGGAGCGCTGAGCAGCCACGGGACAGAGGGGGCCCAGCCTGCCGTGGGGACCCGTCCCCGGATTGCCCGGGGGGCAGCCCCACGGGGGAGCGGGGAGCGGGGGGAGGACAGGAAACCCCATTTGAGAAGATCCACGATACATGTTCTGATCTCTTCCCTCCCTCCTCCCCGCCCCCCCCAG